AAGCTGTGTGACCACCGACTTCCCAATCGGGTTGGGTCCACGTTGCATCCCACGCTTTTCATTTGTTCTCTATCTATCTATCTATCTATCTATGTAGTAGTACTATTTTCTAGTGATGCTAGAGTAGTAGTATGATGACCAAAATACTTGCCAAGTGCTATAGCAAGAGAATCCTCTTCGGCCTCGATCTTCGGTGGTTATTTTCAGTCGGGAAAGCAGACGGGATACCGCTGGAATGGAGCCGCAGAGCCTGACCTCGATAGGCAGGGGGATCCTCATCATGATGATTTCCATTCAGCTCACGGGGTCTGGGATCTGGCGCACGGACTGTATCCGCGTGAGCTGCACCTGACTTGACCTACCAATGTGTAATTCCGATTATTTTCAGGATGAGATGAATGAGGATTTTGCCAGAGTAGTTGCTTCGATTGACTGAATCTCCTCACTATGGGTCGCGTCTGAGTAACAGCTTCGATTGTTTACATGTGTAGCTAGATACCTCTCGTAGTAATGGAAATACATAGTGGCAGCTAGCTCTCGAGTATGGCGGGGAGACTAAGATAAATCTCCACATGATTTTTCGTCTGGCGCGCTCCAATCAAATCTCTCCATCCGTTAATCCAAGGTGTAGGTACCCACTCCTTTAGTATACTTGCTAACTTACTAAGGATTCCCTGTGGAGCTTGCTTTTCCTACCTGCTCGGTCATGGCTTCGCAACGCAACACAACGTGAGCTGAGTAGTAGTGAGAAGATACGGTACCTTACACTATATTCTCTTTACTATCTCCTAATACGTCTGCTGATCATGTGGATGCTGTCAGGTTCTATTTTTCCTCTACAAAGGCAGCGAATTGCGGCTTTTGCGGGGAAAGACTGAACGTATCATCATTCAGTCCAGTCCAGTCCAGTCTTGCACAGCTCCCTGAATCCGGAATGCTGGACCCTCTCGACTCGCTCGAAGTTAATCGTCTGACCATGATGATCTTCTTCTGCTCCATGGGTCCAGGCAACTATAATTGAGGCCATTGCCCTCCATTGAGAGTGGAGGTCGACCGATGTCTAGTTGCCCGTGTTGCCTTGTCGAGTCCGTCCTGGATGTGTAGATTACACCAAAAGTCTCTTTAGAGTGTGCCCCTTCTTCCTGTTCTCTTCTTTCTTTCCTTTTCTTCCATTCTCCCATCTCTGTCTTATACAATTTGTTTCTCTATCGTGCTTGAATCTGCGTTGTTGTATACCATTGTCAAAGGCGATGAATAGCTTGTCATGGGCCATCCTTTTCATCCTCCTTATACCCCTTCTCGTCATTAAACTACGAAAAGGGCCGCTGGCATCATATTTTCAGAAACCTGTCCAGCATGCAGGCTGCACTGATGTCAAGCGCATGGCGCCATACCCGGCCCAACCCATCAGAGGAAGGGAGCGATACCGGGTCATGATGGACATCCGGAAGCTGGACGTGGAGAACTGGCTCACAGTCGACAAGAACTACATGGACGAGCATCTTGTGCGGAGTCGACTGCTGCGGGAGGAAAGGGAACAGGTTCTCCAATGCCTGCCAGAGTCGTACGATGCGTGTCTCGAAGCGCTGGAGGAAGTGGTTGAATTTCTCTGCCAGCGATTCCCGCACGTGTTTGAGCGGAAGAAGTCCGGGAACGAGTCGACCATCCACAATCGGATGACGGGGGAAACTTTCGTCTTCGGAGGGGAGGACAAGCAGGTGGATCCTCTGGAAATCGCCGTCCGTCTTACCATGGAGGATTTGAGCATTCTGATGCAGAACGCCGACGGCGAATATTATCTGTATGTTGAAGTGCAGCGCTGACAGTTTGCCCCGACTGACACCGCGAATAGAGCCGCCAGCGCCAGTCTCTTCCCTGTTGGCTGGACAGTCAAGGAACGCATCGGTTGGACAATCTCCCAGCTTCACAATCCTGTGCCTCTGTGGCACCAGCAGGTTGCCAATTCTGTTAGCAAGTAGGTAGCCCCGAATGTCTTTTGAAGAAAAGAACGTACGCTGACTCTCACAGATTCCTCGCTCGTCTCACACCCACTTCTCCAATGGAGCGATCCAACTACTTCGTCGAGGTCAAGCGTCCCGATGAGACCCTCTTCGAGATTCTCTATCGCCCAACAACCCTCTCGGAAGACAACCCCAACCCGGCACCAGAAGACATTGTCATCCGCCGCGAGCGCCAGACTTTCCGCCGCCTACCGAAAACAGGCACCATTGTCTTCGGCGTCAAGACCTTCCTAACGACGCTCGACGAACTGCCCATGCAGGAACTCCAGAATCTCGCGAAGGAGACCAAGAGTTGGCCCGACTACGTGGGCGAGTACAAGGGCCGCGAGATCTGGGGCCCCAAGGTCCTCGAATTCTGCGAGAAGCGTACGCAATCACTTCCGCAGCAGCTTGAGTTGGACAAATTGGACGTATAACCTTGAATTTTGTAGCATTAGCGCGCTTCCTTTTTTTTTTTTTTTTTTTTTTTTTTTTTCGTTTTTGCAAAAGCAAACGGATGGGTGGCTCTCTGATTTCAAAAAGTTCTTAGCATCATCATCATTTGTCTTTCGTTCTGGGTCGGCTTTCTGCTCTGTTTTGTGATTTCTCTTGCTTTTCGATCTTGCCCGATCATGGGCGATTACCCTTGATTTGAGAGGCAAGCGTTCAACACTTTGAGGGAGACCTTACTCTTGTCTCCTTGGTTTTTGTTCGCGGGTTGTCGCCAAAAGCTACTCAAGCAAATTGCTCTGAACATTGAACTCGAATACACAGCCTACATTCCACGTTGACAATTCTATAAAGAAAGTATGATGAAAGCTTGAAATAGTGTCATTGTATACGCTGGAAACGGATACTACTGTTACTGGTGCTAACCCCGGTAATTGAATGGGTACAACAAAGGCGATAAGTATAAACAGAAGCAAAAGGGCCCAATGTGTCCGTCGAGTCTATCAGATTATAGTAAATAACGAAAAGGAAAGAAAGAAATAAAAACAGGTCTAGTCCGATAACCGCTAAATCTTCGAACGAGCAGGCTCATCCTGTTTTAATCGCACCACTCCCTAGAAAGACAAGGACAAGCATTAGCGGCCGTTTTCTTGCAGGCAGTAGCCCAAACCCTAATGTTAGCGAGCGCGAGTGCAACGTAAACGTACCTCCTGTGTGCAAGTCGCAATCAGCGTTCCATCCCGCGACCAGATCTTCTGGATCGCCAGCCCCCGGCCCTCACCCGCCCACGGGCTCTCCATCTCCATCAGCATCCACTCGTCCGCGCGGAACGCCCACGGGTTGTGGAAGTAGATCGAATGGTCCAGACTAACCATCATCCCGACCTCCTTGCGGTTTTCCTTCGGTTGGTTCGTCGCCTGGCTCAGCGCGCCCTCCAGCCGCCGCCGCAGATCGGCCGCCTCCTCCTCCTTCAGCTCTTTGATCGCCCGCGCGATGTCCTCGTCGTCCAGGTCGGACGGGTTCTTGAGCGCCTGCAGCGCCCGCCGCAGCTCCGCCGGCGACGAGAACCGCGGGATGTTCTGCACCCGTGCCACCGTCCCGATGAAGTAGCTGTCCGTGATGTAGGCCAGCGCGGAGAGGTGCGCTTGGTGTCCCCCTGCCTCGGAGATGCGGCCCCGCGCGCGAGCGAACCGTCGCACGCGCTTGTCCTCGGGGTTGGGCGAGTCGCCTGCGTCAGTGTCAGTTCCAGCAACCTCGTATCGTTCCCTAGCCTAGTTTCTCATGTGCAGTGGAGGCAATTGCTTACGGTTGACAGTCCCCGCCCTGTGTGTCTCAAACGGCCCCCGGCTATCCTCCAGCGAGCCTCTGGTTCCCTCAGCGGGGTCAGCGAGACTCGGTTTGGGCGTGGCGTGCTCGAGGCGCTTCTTGCCGCCGCTGTTGGCCCGGCTGAAGCTCAGTGTTGTTGTGAAGATGGGTCGGCCGCGCTGCCGGGCTTGCACAGTGCGGGTGATGAAGCTGCGGCCGTCGCGGACTCGTTCGACGTGGTACAAAATCGGGATTTCGGAGTCGCCCGCTAGAACGAAGTAGCAGTGCATGCTGTGGACGGCGAAATCGGTCGGGACCGTTCGCATTGCGGCCGAGAGGGACTGGGCGATGGCGGCTCCGCCGAAGATGCCGCGGGCGCCGGGGGGGTGCCAGAGTGGGCGGGTGTTGGTGAAGACATCCTAGTCGTGTCAGTATAAATAAAGAATAATTCCTGTGGTGAACTCTAATGGCAGCGTTGAAGAAGAGGAGACGTACGGGGCCGATGTCAACAACTGGGGTCAACTCCAAAACGTTTTCGATCGGCGCCTTGGATTCATCCAGTGGTGGGGGTTCGAACAATGTCACTCGTTTCGCCATGTTGATTTATCAGGTAGCAATGTATGCTGCAATCTGGCGATAAACGATAAGGATCGAGTAAAGGAGAAGAGGAATCATTATTTGAAGGTGGATGATGACGGCTTCCTCAATCTTCACGCGGTGCACGGGGACTCCCGAATTGGAAAATGCCGAGGCATCTCCACCGTCTGGATGTGCCGACTTCAGATGACGATAGGCATCACTAATCAGTCCGTCGAGGATAGATTCGGCTGTACGGATCATCGTATTTATTGCCAGCTCAATGTGCAGGCAGCCTTCACGTCATGAGTTTTATTAATTGGGCCCTTTCTGATTCTTATAAGTTTGGACTCCGACTACTACTCCTTCATTTGGAGCATTGTCAACTGGCTCATATATCTAGCAAATAATAGCGTCGAGCAAGATGCGATCTATTTTGTAGCAGTTCTATCAACAGTCGCAGGTCGACTAGCCGCGGACCTGCGACTTGCGCTTGTCAATTCACAAGCTTTTGCAAAGCAGAAGGCTTGCAGTACGTCCGAGGTCAGCTATATCGCAGATATCCTGGTCTGATCAACCTATCACGTATCATCAGCAGTGCCTGCATGTATCCGCTTCGCATAATGCATCTGTCCACATGAGTCATGACATGTATCGTTTCCCGCGCCATCAAATGAAATACTCCTCCCTCGGCGGCATATACCGATCCCACCCTTTCCCCGGACTTACAACCTCCGGCACATCAACCTTGAACGTCTTCTGTACCGCCTTCGCACTGGACCTCTTCTTCTTCCCATTCTGCTGCAGTAATCGGAGCAGCTGCTGGCGCTGCATCTCCTCCTCGGTAAGTAGGATCGGGCTCGCAGAGCCGTACTGGATGCGCGTCTCATCCGCGACAGTCCGTCCATAGATCCACAGTGCGCCTAGCGCGTAGAGAAACACAAAAGCGCAGCAGAGACTGACCACGATGGTTGCCAGATTGTTCATGGGGAGGATGTTGCGGCAGAGGATGTTGAAGACGAGGTTGAAGAGGCCGAACAGGCTCGATGAGAGGCAGGGGCTGGGAGTCTGGTTAGTCTGAAGTCTGCTTCGTTGGTACACCTCTCTGGACCAAACATACAGAAAGACAGAGTGGAGGAGATAGGCTCGTTGGTCGATCTGAGCGCAAACGATCACAAAGGACAGCGCGTAAGCAACGCCGATCAAGACCATGGCGGCGATGGTCAGGACCGTCTTGTTGATCTGCGGGTTATTTTCGGGCTTTTCAAGCGTGAGTGGAATCATCAAGTACCTGGATACTATCAGATCCTACGTTCATGCGGCATTATTTTTGGTACATACCCCAAAAGCGACAGCGTCGATGCCATAGCCGCCGGGAATTGCCATACCGATCGCACAGTATCGGTCTCTCGAGTCGCGGGTTGTACGGGTTCTTGCGACACCCAGAGCTCCTGATACCGGGAAGAAGACATTTTATCGGCGAGACATTAATCCCGAAATCTGGTATATCTGACGGTTCAAACTCAGAATCAACAGTAGCAGAAGCGAACGAGCGAGTGACAACAAGCGAGCGTGGTTATGTCATCGGAACATTATGATTATATAGAGTAGTGGTTGGCTAAGATTGAGCACGAGAGAGAAGCGAGAGAGAAAAAGACTGAAACAGGACTGAATGGGGGGATCGTCAATATTAATATGGCTTGATATCTCTTGATTGCAGTGATATCGCCTCCAAAGACAGACTGGGGAACCAGCCACTTCGACACTAAACCGGCGAGATGAGCTATCTATGCAGCTAAAAGCGTGTCACACAGGAACAGACCACTAGGCGCACAGGACTATATTTAGTGACTCCATGCATGATGCGACCTGACCTGGTCTATCAGTCTATCACTATTTTAATTATGCCGATCTGTGACGGTCTTGTCCTGTAAGCTGACTGGACGCTGAATGGCTGAATGCTGAATACCTTGAGCCCTCAGCCACGTTTCATAGCGATGGAGGCGACGATGATGTCAAATGCAATAGATATTCAAGTAAAATTAAGTGTCGGATTGGTCCAACAATTACAGTGCTATTCAGTCTTATCTATCGTAATCACCAAGCTCTATATCCACTTCAAACCCGAATAGATTCACGGATGATCCGACAACGTCTCCACATCCAGATGCTTGGTTATCAGATGCAGGTCAAACTGGTCAGGTACCTCAAAACTATCACAGCATCTCTCTGTTAGTAAATCTCTTTAGAAATCTGTCAAACAGTTTGATACCTACCTAATACGATTGTCAGCTTGTTTTGTGATTCTTCCCCCAGCGGATTCGATGAGCGATTTCATCCTGCAGAAGTAGACATCAGTGAGGAGGGATACAAGATATGGCCACATCGAGAACAAGAATGAGCTCACCGATCGACATCCGACTCACTCGTGTGGTCTTGTAGAACGAGCTGGATACGTCAGTCCTCATGGTCCGACTCTGCACTCGACCAACGTGGACAGCTCACTGTATGTAAAGGCATTCTGCAGTGATCGACTCGGAAAATGGGCGCTAAAGTCATCTTCTTTCCCAGAATATAGTGGCAGAGGCAAGTTCAACTACGTCTTATATAACACTCTACGTATCGTGACCAGAAAGTCATCATGATATCATGTTGACTATATCGACCATTCTGTTCCGATGAGAGTATCTAACAAGGTCCTCTCCGTCTAGATTAATCCTGCCTCTCCAACGAGAACATGTAATTCTTCGTCCGGAACTTATTCAAATCCAGATCCTCCTCTGGGATATCATACCTGCCAGAGTAGCCTGTAAGTCTGCATAGAGTATAGAGTAGACTCGGTAAGGTATCTTACACATATGCCTTGAGGAACCGCTCCTCTCTCACAAAAGAGCCACCGTGAGACTCAATCTCGTTCAGAACTCTGCGTAGAGTCAGTCGCTATCAAGACTTTCATGTAGATTCCAGAACATACTCCTTTTTATTTCCTACCGTCACTTGCGGCGGGAACTTGACCTGTTTCAAAAAAACTCCGTCGGCGTATTGCCTTCGTTGTTGGACTCGGGGGTACGAACCAGATAATGAGGCATGGTGAGCAGAACGGCACTTGTATGTATTGTTGACTCTATTTCTCCTGCACATAGACGCAGTCACAGAAAGATTGATGAATATAAAAGCACCGCTCTCGCAACGATGTCATCGTGGTATCATCTGCCCGTGGCTCGGCTCATGGCAATGGGGGTTGCATCATGGTGGAAGTATTATCCATGGATCGTTATTGCAGTGAACGAGGCCGGAAAGGCGGTAAATAAATCAGATGAACGAGAACAGAGCACCCTAGTCAAGGCGAGGACTGCGTCTTTTGCCAACTAGTGCTATTCAAGACGTCGCTGGCGCCTGTTAACGGACGAATACCTTCAATACCTATGTCAGATACAGGCCAATGAGCCTCATATGAACGGTCAATATTCCCTTACCATCAGTAGAGTGGAAGACGCCGGACTTGTAATTTGCATTGAGGCCAGGCACATACATGCGGGAGAGGTTGGTGTATGGTACACATGCTGGCTATTCGAATATTATACACTACTAGTACACTTCTGAGAAGCATATGCTTCACCAATGCTGGACGACATAGGTCCTTTTCTGTTCTCGCATTCAGATCGACGATCGACAGAAACGCAGTGGTCTGTCAAGATCGCCGTGAAGATTGAAGCTGAGGCAGCTATCATCTTCAAGAACGTCCATATTTGTACACATCCGTATCACTGTAAGCCAGATCGTGAGTAAGTCTCCAAGAAAATCGACTGGTGCAGAGGAGACACGTACAAGTGACTTTTGAGGCTCTCCCTTCCTTCTGCCCTGGCATTCACCCACACACTGACGCTCACCTTCGATACGGGAAATATGCCGTATCCTCGACGGTCAATGGTGACCGTTCCGGAGTGCCACTCGAGGATATCCGTCCACTGCTCTCCTGCATGCTGCTGACCAACGAACATGCGCTTCTGCGATGGGCCGGCGTTGCTCATGATACAAGCTAAACCCGAGGGATGCCGCCGGTTGCCGTAGCGAATAAATCCTATTTGTCTCGTCAGTATAGTGGAAACGAGGGCCAAAAGTGAGGCAGCGCGCACCGATGCAGTTCCTCTCGTCGAAATAATCCCGCTGCTCTCCGTACGCGTAGAGCTTACGGGCTTTTGTGAGAATCGGAAGCCTGCCTCCACACGAACGCTTCGTTGGATGTTTGCCTCCCCTGATCCCGTAAAGATCACCCCAGAAGACACAGGGTTGTCCTTTATTCTGTAGTAGGATCAGAGCATATGCTAATGGCTTGAAGAAAGATGCGACCGGCACCTATTTATAATTTGTCAGGATGGAACAGCCAATGTAGACAGTGACAGCAGAATCTTACCTCTAACATTTGGCCTGGTTGCTTTACTGTAGGTCAATAGATGTTGAGACCCTGAGAATGGAAGTTGATTCTTACCGTATCATGAGTCATGACAAATGTCTGGGCGGTTAGTGTGGAGAGCAGTCAGAACACATTTAGAGAACTTACAATAGCATGTTGAGGTTTGCTCTGAACTAATGTACCATCGAGAATTCCCCGCAGGTCAGCTTCGGGGGTCCGGGAGATTTTCGAGAATCGGTCAACCAATACGGCATCATAGAGATGAACTCGGTGTTCCATCATCTCCAGGAAATGCAGGAGTTCTTTGAGATCACAGCGCCAGTATTCCGAGATTACGAAGAAATCAGGTCCTAGAGTCTTCCGAACATGATCGACAAAGTCCCTCTGGAAAGCAGCCGACATGTGTTTTGCAGCGTCTAGCCTCATACCACTGAGAGGCAGTTGAGTGCCGATCCATTCGCCCCAGTTAAGAAGATCCCTTCTGACTTCTGCATTAGAGTAATCCAGGTTTGCAAACATCAGATAATCGTAGTTGCCGAACTCGTGGCCGACATCGTTAGCCCAATCCTTGTTCGGCCCTGCAATCTTGTAGATCGCGTTCTTCTTCTGCGATTCGTCCCAATCGACGCCATTGAAATGGTACCAGCGATAATTCATCGAGCTATAGAAGTCGCCGCGGCCGTTGAAATCGAACCCCACCCAGCCCTCGATCTCCTTTGGGCGTGAGATCTCAACATCTCGTCCTAACGCGGCATATCAGATATCTGGTTAACCAACCTCTCCACTGAAGGGAAACATACTTTCCGGGTCTACTTGGACAGCCAGAAATCGTTCTGTGAAATCTGCTCCTGCTTTATGGTTGAGAACAGCATCCCAATGAACGCCAACACCGAGATCTCGAGCGGCTGCGGTGAGCTCCAGGAGCTCTTCCTTGGTTCCCCATTTCGTCGCTCGTGATCCTTTCTGGTCGAATTCGCCCAAGTCGTACAGATCATATACATCGTAGCCATTTCCACAAGGATCCATCCCCTTGCATCCTGGAGGTATCCATATGTTGTCCACACCGATTTCCTTGAGACTCGGTAAAATGTGCCGTAAACGGCGCCAGTGAGCTTGGTCAGCTGGCATATGCCATTCAAAAGTTTGCATCAGAAGGAGATTGTCTGGTGCATCCCAGGACGGGAGCTGATCCAGACGACTCGCTTCCTCTAATACGGCATTAGATCAGATCGCAAAGAAGAAAAGGAACGCAGACCTTCGATTTCATTCCATCTCCGCGATTCTCTTCTTTTGGTTGGGAGGCAGCTAGAAAGAAAAGAAAGCATTGGGAGATCTGAAGCAATTGAGACGCAAAACTTGAGAAGGGAAGCTGAGTCGACAGCCGCGATATAACGCTTATATGTTTGGAGGCGGATGAGGAAATAGAGTGATTATATGAAGATATAATGCAGCCCAGCTTTTTTTCAAAACCACAGCATTGCATCAATAATGTGGTGGAAATATGAAAGTAACTATATATAGGTCTGACACCAATGCCGCTAGTTTCAAGACATCATCAGTCAAATAGTTTTAGCGCAACGATACAAGAACAAACAGAACACACGGTATATTTGTGCAAGTGGACTCGTGACAAATGGGAGGTTATGTGTCGTAGCAGGGCCCTTATACCTTTCTTGTGCTCTTCAAGTTATAATTTAGTAGATGTTTCAAGGAGGAATAAGGTCATAAGATTTCGATTATACGAGCTACAGTAGTACATAGGGGAACAATCCCATAGTGTCAATTTTTGGATGTGGTAAGTTGATACCTGAGGCCTCCATATTTCAATTTAAGCCATTCCTCCTGGATCGAGAACCTTGTGCCTGAGCCGCTTTGAACCTACCTAGGGTGGCTAACCGCTAAACGGCAATTATCCGAGTGAAATCAAGCCAATAGGAGACAGGGAATCTCGAATTCACTCTTGGCCACCTGACATAGAATCCGGGCATCTGATTCGTGGAATCCAGGCGGTCACTGAAGGATTTTTGAAGAGTTCATGCCTCAGGCCCATACAGAATTTCACAGAGACCCGACTCCATTGTGGACTTCCTGTCTTGACAGATATCCACTTTGAGCGCCGTCATGAGCATATATTGGTTGTTTTTGAAGATGAGTGACGACATCGCTATTTTTCCCAGTCAAATTCTGAAGAAAGGAGTGCTTGGGAGGTCACATTCCGCCAAACTGACCAACCGTCTCCCTTGATCTACTGTTTACTCCGTAGATGCGACCAATATAGTCTGTAAGCCTGAGTAGTCTCGAAGAGAGCACATATCCCAAGCATATCTCAGGGTGTCAACATCTTCTGACTGGAAAACCCAAACATGTCTGTTGATTGTGCCCTCTAGGATTCCTGGATACAATGTTGGCCGGGCGATCGGAGTTAACGTGGCAAGTGATGTTCGTGCTGCCGAGCGATGCCCGCATTGGCCCGCGAAAAGTTTTCGGGATCGGTGCCGCTAGTTCCCAGTCTGTGCTTCCCAGTCTCCCCGATGTGAAATCCTTTTCCTTTCAGTTTCATATCTTCCTCCTCTCTTCTCTTTTCCCTTTCCAAACTCTGCAAAGCTTCAATTGCTTTCGTTTATACCCATCCCCACTCTTCGTCATCTCTTATCTGTATCCCTCTTTCTCCGTCCTTCTTCTACCTTTGTCTTGTTTATATCTTTAGACCTGCATAGATAACTACACATAATTCACAATGTCCGCCGCTGCTCCCACTACCGGTTCCCCCAAGATCGACGCCGTCGTCGAGAAGGTGGCTCCTGCCACCCCTCAGATGAGCGGCTTCCAGCTGTACTCCAGATTCGCCTTCGCTGGTGCTGTCTGCTGCTCCGTCACTCACGGAGCCCTCACCCCTGTCGATGTGTAGGTCCTACTGTTCAGCCTCACTGTCCCCAAATCGCATCGATTGCGCCTAGTCCCGAAATCCCCGGCGCGCTTTGCGGTGGACATCAACTGGGTACTGATGTATCTTTCTTTCTCAATGCAGCGTCAAGACCAGAATCCAGCTTGACCCTGTCACCTACAACCGTGGTATGATTGGTGGCTTCAGACAGGTCATTGCCAACGAGGGTGCTGGCGCTCTCCTCACCGGTTTCGGTCCTACTGCTGCCGGTTACTTCCTTCAGGGTGCTTTCAAGTTCGGCGGTTATGAGTTCTTCAAGCAGCAGTGCATCAACCAGCTCGGTTACGAAACTGCTTCCAACAACAGAACCGCTGTCTACCTCGCTTCCTCCGCTGCCGCCGAATTCTTCGCTGATATCGCCCTGTGCCCTCTTGAGGCCACTCGTATCCGTCTCGTCTCTGAGCCTACCTTCGCTAGCGGTCTCATGAGCGGCTTCGGCAAGATCCTCAAGAACGAGGGTATCGGTGCTTTCTACTCTGGTTTCGGTCCTATCCTCTTCAAGCAGTAAGTCGATCACTCTCAACCAATGGAGTCGCCTGGTGATTTCTAATTGGTAAACTTCAGGATCCCCTACACCATGGCCAAGTTCGTCGTCTACGAGAAGGTTGTTGAGGCTGTTTACCGCAAGGTCGACAAGAACACCGTTTCCGATGGTGCTAAGACTGGTATCAACCTTGGCTCTGGCCTCATTGCCGGTTTCGCTGCCGCCCTTGTTTCTCAGCCCGCCGACACCATGCTCAGTGTGATCAACAAGACTCAGGGCGCTCCTGGTGAGAGCACTGTCTCCCGTCTCATCAAGATCGCCAAGGACCTTGGTATCCGTGGCAGCTACGCTGGTATTGGTACTCGGTAAGTCTCTCTGTTCTCAATTCTCTTGCGATTCAGGATACAGTAGCTGATGAGCCCATTCTCTAGTCTTTTCATGGTTGGTTCCATCACTGCCGGTCAGTTCGCCATCTATGGTGACATCAAGCGTGTCCTCGGTGCCACCGGCGGTGTCGAGATTGGCAAATAAATTAACGACGTGACGCCTAACTGCGAACCAAAAATGTCTGAATTCGGTCAATGTCCAAATCTTCCATACGGAGCGTGTTAGATTTGATTTGCCGTTAAAAAAAAAAAAACAAGCTGCAGCCCACTTGAGACTCGCCAAACTCGGCAGATGACATCTACTTTCCTGTCTCCGGTCCAGTGTCTTCACAGCATCATTGTATTTCACATTGTCTGGAATGTAGTATAGATTTGAATAGACGCTTTTTTCCTTTGTTCTATCTTCGGAGATTCGGCGGCATTGACTTTTGATTACTTACTTCCTCATTAGCACTTGTTCATTTCCATTACGTTTTGGAATACAGAAAGCATTCTTTTCTCGAACCATCTCAATAGAGTCAGGACGAAGCAAAGAACGAATCGGATTATCCTTTTTGAGGGCTTATCAAGGCATCCTGAGAGTCTAGACTATTGTCGCAGGCACTAGCAGGTCACAAATCTGTTATCACAATTAGCCAGTCCAGTATCGAGAGACAATATTCGGAAGAAGAAAAGTAGATTGCACCCCTTATTCGATCCTTGGGCGAGTGGCATTAAACAGGAATGGTAGATGCTCCCGCACACAGCCTTGGATACGTTGATGCCAAGCCAGCGGATCTTCAGGCACTCCGTCTCCAACGCCTCCCCGCTAGATCACCGTCTTCATTCACTATTAATCCCATATCAGCTCATTGTTGAAACATACGGCACACCCGTTTTCTATCCATTATTTTTTCCAGATGCATATCTGACATAATCCCTGTTTCTCTTCCCTTCTCTCTTTCTTGATATATTTTTCTTTGCTCGCCTATATACCCAACCCTTATGACCTGATTATCACTTGTTCGCCATGTCACCTCATCTCGGTCTCTTACAAGTCCTCTCCTTCCTATTCCTTCTTCTCGCAACACAGGTAGTGACGGAACACACTTCAAACTGGGCCGTTCTCGTTTCCACGTCTCGATTCTGGTTCAACTACCGCCATCTTGCAAATGTACTCTCACTGTATCGCACCGTCAAGCGGCTGGGGATACCCGATTCGCAGATCATCCTAATGCTTCCCGATGACATGGCCTGCAATCCTCGAAACGCGTTTCCCGGGACGGTCTACAGCAATGCCGATCGCGCAGTCGACTTATACGGAGACAACATCGAGGTTGACTACCGAGGCTACGAGGTGACCGTGGAGAACTTTATCCGTCTCTTGACCGACCGACTGGACGAAGACGTGCCGCGGAGCAAACGCCTGGGCTCTGACGCTGGAAGCAATGTGCTCGTTTATATGACCGGACACGGAGGCGATCAGTTCCTAAAGTTCCAAGACTCGGAGGAGATTGGAGCCTGGGACCTGGCGGATGCATTCGGCCAGATGTGGGAGAAGAAGCGCTATCATGAGCTGCTATTCATGATTGACACTTGCCAGGCTAATACTATGTACACCCACTTCTACTCGCCAAATATTATCGCGACAGGATCCAGTGCGCTGGATCAGTCCTCTTACTCTCATCATGCGGATAACGATGTCGGTGTGGCGGTGATCGACCGTTGGACATACTATGTGCTGGAATTCTTAGAAACTCAGGTGACAAGCGCCAATTCGAAGGCGACGCTGGGAGATTTGTTCGACTCGTACGACGAGTCGAAGATTCATTCGCAACCAGGCGTTCGGTGGGACCTCTTTCCCGGCGGGGAGCAGGAGGGCCGCCTGAGAACTGTGGTGGACTTCTTCGGTAATGTTCAAAATGTCGAAGTTGAGCATGCGAATGCCACTGAGCCCGGCTCTTTGAAGGAGGATCTCATTGAGATCGCTCGACTGGTTGAAAAATGGCGCAAGCGTGATCGGGACTTTGCATCTCGCAGAGAGCCGCTTCATGAGAACAACACTGATGCACTTCCCTCCTCTCAATTTACAAAGGCTCGAAATGTCGCGCCTGTACGCATGGCAGCTGAATCTTCCTGGGAAAAGCGGCTCGTTGGAGCATCAGTTCTGGGCGCATGCGCTGCTGTCTGGCTCGCTGGATCGATCTTGGGCAGGTCCTCGGTTTGATCATGA